GGTCCCCAAAATCCGCTCGGATTGTTTGTTCAAGGTTGTCTCCTCTAGCGCTTCGGTTCATTATCCTGATCTCTAGACAGCAGTGGCAAGCAAATATATTTGATGGCGGTTCACGAACACCATACCACAGTGTCGTCATCAGGCTTTAAGAAATTTTCTAGGCTTTTGGCATGCCAGGCATCAGCCCGTCGCACCCTGGTAGCACCGTCTCTGCTGGTCCGCAACTGCGCATTCGTTAGAGCCCAGAGTCAGCTTATGTCGCAGCTAACCTTCCCTGAATATGTTTCCACTACCACCAACCGTGGATGCGCCCGGTAGCCAGCAGCTAACCTAACGTGCAAGTCACATTCATTAACGCCTTCGGTGATCAGACGAACAAACTTAAACCCAGGCATTTGTATGCGTAGGAATCTTATGAGTTTTATCTACTGGAAGATCTTCAACCCCCATAAATTGGTCAAACAGCCGACACGGTGAGAGAAAAGTGCTTGCTGGTTGAGATGCATGAGTTCTGCGTGAAGTCGAAATGGCCTCTGTCAATAATAAACACGTTTCAGCTACTGCGGGCTTACCATCCAGAGCTGCCCAAAGACCCAAGGATGCTCATGTATAGAACTTGCATTGGCAAGGCCCTGTGAATTAACATAATTTTTTGCTCATGGCCTGTGCAATCTAAATGCGGATAATATGGTAAAGGTAGCCAACGTAGCCAATATTATCGGCGACATCCCCTGCCCTGTCCTGCGACAAGCTAAAACTCACAAGGTTACTATGCATGCGAAGAATATGCTGTTTTTGCAGATTTAATTGTAACCACTACAAGTGTCCTCATAAGGTCAAGCAACTGCAAACCGCATAACATTCCCATTGTATCGTTGGCGTCTGCAAAACGACAGATATTTTAAGTTACCAGATCAGCAATTGCATCACAACGGCATGTCTACGTTCCAGTATTTTCCCACTGACATGATTGCCTCAGTCCCAATCGACCATGTGCACCTCACTTGCCTAGGTGTAATGCGTAGATTACTACGTACGTGGCGACTGGGATACAGCAGGTCATCGGCGTCCATGAAAGTATCGGTTAAGAAAGGCAGCCAGTGCCTACCAGCAGAATTTTCACACATATTTAGATCATCTGTCTTTCGGAAAAATTTCGGAAATCTGCCGAATACAGGCAATTTTTACTTGATATAGACCCTGCAATTTTGTCGCCATATCTTGAAGAATTCCACTACAAACGTCTTTTGTTTTAAATTTCCCATGGCAGTGTACATATCTTGTCATCCAACTTTGCACATATCCTGCGGAGAATAT